TTTTTTTTTTTTTGGAATTTTTTTGATTTCACTCAAGTGTTGAAAATTTTAGATTTGGTGGTAGAATTCCGTATATGTAATTTGTATTTGAAATTTCAGTAAATAATACAAATTTTAAATATAATTCAATGGTAGGTAATTTCGATATCTCATATTTTTTTTTTTCAAAACATTTTAAAATATCAATGAATACCTGAAGACTTTTGAAAGTAAGATCATATTTTTTTTTCTAAACATTTTAAAATCTCAATGAATATTTGAAGACTTTTGAAAGTGAGATCGAAGTTAAATACAAAATAATAAATGAAATCCAAAAAATATTTAAAAAATAAATCAAAATGAATACGTAGTAGGTATTTATATAGGTGAGACTATGTTTGAAACTTTTCATATGAATTTTGTTTGTAAAATGTCAAAATCTACACAAATCCAAAAGAATAAATAAATTGAATACCTTAAATTTTTTCTTTTAGGTCTTTGAAATCTCAAATACAATCTCAGGACCTTTAAAAATTTTATAATAAAGTCCAAATTAAATACATTGTAATTTTTAAAATCAGAAAAAAGTATTTAATAAATATCACGATTCACGGGCATATTTGGCCCCAAATCCAGATGTATAAATGACAACACAACACCTCTATAATCTATAATTAAAGGAAAATGTTACAGTCTTGTTACGGACTCATTTCGTCGGAATTTGTAACCGTTAGATCATCATGTAACAATCGTGGACAGTTGATCTAACAGTTACAAACTCTGAATGGTTCCGTAATGAGACCGTAGAATCTCCCATAATTAAATGTTAATTACCATGTGTGATTTTTTATTAACCATTGGAGTTGGCTTGAATGATTTTCGTAACGTGCTTATAAATTGTCCTTCACACACATCATGAAAATGTAAATAACAATGAACGTATTGATTTTAATGTTAATTATAACGCTCAGTTGTTTTCTTATTTTATGTGGAGAAGTTGGCTCGTTCTACTTTCATTTAGTAATAAATTTTGAACTCATTGTATGTATGACATTTAGTGTACAACAGTCAAACCCACATTTCACAATCAAGAAACAACATTAATTTAACCATTTGCATATTTTTATATTAATCATCCTATTGTAATCAAACATAAAAAATATAAAAATTATCATATTTAAATTTAATACTTTATAATACAATATATATAAGTCAATTTGCCTAATCATGATCAGTAGTCAAATTTTAGGAATGATCGTGTGTTAATTTCTTTGCTTAGAAGTTCATTACAGTATATGATTTTGCTAATTCCTTTGTCTCTAAGCACCTGGTGCATGTTTTTTTCCAATTCCTTTTTATTGTCAATCATACATTTTCTAAGAAAAAAATAAAAAATAAAAAACTTTGATTAATGTTAGTCATATTTAAGATACATTTTACTGTAATAATCATTTATGAATTATTTAACCTTTTCCATTCTTTTGCCTGTGAACATCATTAAGGGGAAATCCAAATTCAGACTCGTATTATATTATCTGTGATGGTGTGAAAATTTTTATTTTTACTTCAACTCATCAGTTTTGCTATAGAGCCATTGGATGACTTATGGAGTCTTCCACACTTATTCATCAATAGTGTATTGACACGTGTCTTACAATAAATACAATTTGGACAGATGTCAATACATTAAGTGATAAATGACTTCATAAAAAAAACCATCAAATGGCTCCATAGAATTTTTGTTCGACTCATTTGTAGAACTCACATAAATAAAAAAGAAAAAACTTGATTTCATTGCTCAAATTCCAACATACCACTTTATTAGTATTATTATCATTAATGAGGTTCGCAATCATACACTGGAATCCTGCTTTATCAGAAGTGTGTTAATCTTGAGTAAATTCTCAAACGGCCCACTGATTAAATAAGGCTTTCCTTTTTAGGATAATATATACTCCCTCCTATTCATAATATTTGTCGTTTTGAAAAGTTGCACAGTTATTAAGAATATTTTCTTTTTGCCAATAATAACCCTCATTAATGAGGATAGAGATGAATGCTTTGAAAAAAAATGAAGAGTTAATATGAAAAGACGTAGTGTATTTATTAGGTAGATGGGGGTAATAATGGAAAAATATGTACCAAATATCCAAAACGTCATTTATTTTGTTAATAGTTGATAATGCCAAAATGACATTTAAAAAGAATAGGAGGTAGTATTTTTTCTCCTCATTCTGTAACCTACATTCAACTAGTATAACACCCGTGTATTACACGGGTGCTTGCTAATTTTTTTCTTAAAATTTAAAATTAATAAGAAAAAATAGTTTGAAAAATTAAATACCGTTTATAAGAATATATATATTATTATATATTTATTATGATACTTTTTATTTGTGCGACTTACTTGTGTTATATTATACTTATTTTTTAACTTACAATATATAACTACATTAAATATAAATATACCAATTGAGAAATAATTTATTTTTTTAATGAATTTTAATAAATATTATTATTTATTATTATTATAAAGATAAATATAATTTATTTATTTTATATATACAATATAGATGTCAAATCGAAGATCATCAAAAGATGATTAATTTGATATATTATATATGTAAAACCGATAAGAAATACAAAAGTTAT